GCCTGTAGTCCCAGCTACTCAGGAGGCTGAGGCAAGAGAATCTCTTGAGCCCAAGAGCCCAAGAGTTTGAGGTTGCTGTGAGATGTGACACCATGGCACTCTACAGAGGATATAGGGCAACATAGTGAGACTGTCTCAAATAATAATAATAATAAAAAGCTAGACACTGTCTCTAAAAATAGCTGGGCATATGGCAGGCACCTGTAGTCCCAGCTACTTGGGAGGTTGAGGCAAGAGAACTGCTTGAAGAGTTTGAGGTTGCTGTGAGCTATGACACCATGGTACTCTACCAAGGACAAGAAAGTGAGACTCTGGCCAGGCATGGTGGCTCACGCCTATATCCCAGCACTTGAGAGGCGGACGCAGGAGGACTGCCTGAGCTCACAGGTTCAAGAGTAGCTGAGCAAAAGCAAGACCCCCATCTCTAAAAAATAGCCAGGTGTTGTGGTGGGCGCCTATAGTCCCAGCTACTTGGGAGGCTGAGGCAAGAGAATCACTTAAAACCAAGAGTTTGGGGTTGCTGTGTGCTGTGATGCCACAGCACTCTACCCAGGGCAACAGCTTGAGACTCTGTCTCAAATAAAGAACAAAAATTAGAATGCCCATTTGTTAGGCTGGGTGTAGTGGCTAATGCCTCTGGGAGGCCAAAGTCAGTGGATTTCTTGACCTGAGGAGTTTAAGACCAGCCTGAGCAAGAGCAAGACCCTGTTTCTACTGAAATTAGAAAAGCTAGCCAGGAGTAGCGTCAGGTGCCTGTAGTCCCAGCTACTCACGACTCACCAAGTGGAGGCGACACAATTACAGGTGTGAGCCACCTCACCTGGCCTATAGTAAAGGACTGATCACCAAGAAAAGTCCTTGTTGATTTCAGTGATGTCAATGTTTTCACAATGGCTGATGTCAAACTACCAAAGTAACATCATTGAACATAAGTTGATAAAAGATGTGTGCAATCTTTTCTTATGAGCCGATAAGAACTAATTCCATCCTAGCACTCTAAAAATAGCCCCGTGTTGTGGCAGGCTCCTGTAGTCCCAGCCACTCTGGAGGCTAAAGCAAGAAGATCACTTGAGCCCAAGAGTTTAAAGTTGCTGTGAGCTATGAAGGCACCGCACTGTACCCAGGGGGCCAAAGTGGTACTCTGTCTCAAAAAAAACAAAACAAAACAAGGTTCAGCATCTGTAGCACAGTGGTTAGGGCACCAGCCACATACACTGAGAGTGGCGGGTTCGAACCTGAACCGGGTCAGCTAAACAACAATGACGAGTGCAAAAAAAAAAAATAGCTGGGTGTTGTGGCAGGCGCTTCTAGTCTGCCAGCTACTTGGGAGGCTGAGGCAAGAGAATGGCTTAAGCCCAAAAGTTGGAGGTTGCTGTGAGCTATGATGCCATAGAAGTCTACCAAGGGCAACATAGTGAGACTCTGCCTCAAAAAAAAAAAAAAAAAAATGAGAGAGAGAGAAAAAACAAAAAACATTCCAGCCCACTGCTGATGGCCCAGAGAAACCTTTGAGGAAGTGGAGGAAATGACATTTAGGAAATCTGAAAGACAAGGAGCCAACCAAGCACATGTCTGGGAGAAGAGCATTTTAGGCTGAGGAAAGAGCCTGTGAATACAAAATCTAAGGACAAAATGTGCCTGGCCTAATTGAGAGAAAGGTTTTGTTTCTGGGGCTTGGAGAGCTAAGCAAAGAGTGTGGTGTGGGGTGGCCCTTGAGGCTCAAGGAGTAGGCAACTAGCCCCATATACCGGAGGTGGTGGGTTCAAGGCCGCCCAGGCCAAAAACTGTAAAAAAAAAAAAAAAAAAAAGAGTTTGCATTAATGTATACAGCTATCATTTAATAAAAAAATAAAATAAAATAAAAAAGAAAATCTAGCTGTGCCTGGCACTAGAAAAGTAAAGAAGGATCAAAATCATGAGCTGTTTAATGTCACAACAAATATGTATGGAACATAATAAACACAAGGAACTTTAAAAAAAATTAAAAAGTGCACTGTGGCTGGGTACCCATAGCTCACTGGCGCTGACCACATGCTCTGGTACTGTGTGTTTGAACCCAGCCCAGGCCTGCTTTAAAAAACAAACAAAAGAAAAAAACACAAAGTGCTGTGAGTCAAGAGTCCCCTGAAAGCAAGGATATGTCAGCATAAGCACAGCTCAGAGACATGAGCAAGAGCAAGAATAATGTATCACTGGGGATGAAAGGTCCACCTCCAGGGTCGGCTCAAGTGGCTAAGGCGCCAGCCACATACACCTAAGGTGGCAGGTTCGAATCCAGCCCCCGCCACCAAATAACAATGATGGCTGCAACCAAAAAATTGCCAGGTGTTGTGGCGGGCACCTGTGGTCCCAGCTACTTGGGAGGCTGAGGCAGTAGAGTCCCTTGAGCCCAGGCGTTGGAGGTTGCTGTGAGCTGTAATGCCACCACACTCCACCCAGGGGGACAGCTTGAGGTTCTGTCTCAAAAAAAAAAAAAAAAAGTCAAGTCCACCTCCAGGCGAAATAAGACTATTTATTTATTTATTTATTTATTTATTTTGAGACAGTTTCACTTTGGTACCCTTGGTAGAGTGCACTGACATCACAGCTCACAGCAACCTCCAGCTCCAGGGTTTAGGCGATTCTACTGCCTCAGTAGAATCGAGTAGAGTAACTGGGACTACAGACTATTTATTTATTTATTTAGAGACAGAGTTTCACTTTGTCACCCTCAGTAGACTGCCGTGGCATCACACGGCTCACAGCAACCTCTAAATCCTGGGCTCAGGCGTTTCTCTTGCCTCAGCCTCCCAAGTACCTGGGACTACCAGGTGCCCGCCACAATGGCTGGCTATTTTTTGTTGCAGTTTGGCAGGGGCAGGGTTTGAACCCACTACCCTCGTTATATGGGGCCGGCGCCCTACTCACTGAGCCACATGCGCCCCCTTATTTATTCATTTATTTTTGATACACAGCTCACAGCAACCTCCAATTCCTGGGCTCAAGCGATTCTCTTGCCTCCACCTCCCAAGTAGCTGGAACTACGGGCGCCCGCCCCAACGCCCAGCTATTTGTTGGTTGCAGTTGTCATTGTTGTTTGGCAGCCCGGGCTGGATTTGAACCTGCCAGCTCAAGTGTATGTGGCTTGCGCCTTAGCCGCTTGAGCCACAGGCGCCAAGCTCATTGAGAAGTAATTTAAAGGATAGCTATGACGTGGTTTGGTTGGTGAGGTAAAATCGAGAAGACAGGTCCGTGACAGCTTGAAGCGATAACGAGAGGGGAGATAACAGAGGAGAATTAATAGTTTGTGTTTCCGAAGGGACAAATAATGGACACAGAATGTGACAAGGGCATAGGAAATGTCCAAGGATGCCTTTTCACAATCAGTACATATTTCTATCCAAGGACAAGTCTACTGACCCAAGGAAAGCAGACATTTTGCGTTATTGTTTCCGAAGGTAGCGATAAACGTGTTTCTTTTTTTTTTTTTTTTTTGAGACGGAGCCTCAAGCTATCCCCTTGGGTAGAGTGCCATGGCATCACACTCACAGCAACCTCCAACTCCTGGGCTC